ATCCCGCCACAATTGCGCATCCGATACTCTGCACATGCGGCCTTCATTTTGTTGCAGTCAAAGATTTGATGACCCGGCACTCCACAAAAATCGCATGTGAATTTGGCGTTTTCTTGACGTGGCCGTCCGTAAAACCTATCGATCTCTATCGGGTCGGCGAACGTAGGGTGTGCCGAGCGGTCGCCCTGTCGCGTGCTGCAAACTTGCGCCCATCGTGTTCCGGCGTTGCCCATGTCAAACTGCTCCATTGCCGATACGACGCCACTGTAGGTTTTGTAATTCGTCGCTGCCATCTGTCATTTGACTTCGATCTTCAGCCCGGCGAGATACGATTGCACTTTTTCTCATTCGGTCAGGTCGGGAATACGACGATAAAATTCTACATTTGCTGCCGCCTCCCCCTCCTCCTCGTCGCTTCCACGGGCTCATCACTCCTCGCCACCTTCTCCCCTCAGCCACCACCATCCCAATGCCTCTTCCTTGCATCCCGTCCTTCTCCTGATCTATCGTGGAACGCCTTTGCTGCTGTTGCTGCTCCACTTGGCAGCCCACAAGATAACTCGAGCTCGTCTTGTTGAACTTGTGCTCAAGAGCTCGTCTCTCTTCCTCATCGTCCTTTGGCTCCAGCTGAATGTCAGGAATGGCATAGAGAGGGAACCCATGCACCCCATGACCACACGACCCCACTGCTGCTGCTGCTGCTGCTTCTGCTTCTGCTTTTGCTGCTGCTGCTGGTGGTACATCACGTGCTGGGCTGGACAGCCCTCTCCCTGCCACACGGTCAGCAAGGTTGTGCGAGTGTGCTGAGAGCTTGGGAGATGGGGAGGGATGGGAGGAGGAGCAGGTGGAGGAGGAGGGGGGAGGCGAGGATGGGGGTGAGGGAACAGAGATGGCAGAGAACGAAGGAGCGAGAGGGGCAAGGGAGGAGGAGGCAGAGCTAGAGGAGTCGGCAGAGCACGTGCGGGAGAAGAGGAGGGCGCTAGTGACTCCACTTCTCGCACCACAACCAGCAGCACCACCAGGTGCACAAGAGCCACTGGTAGAGCTGCTGCTGACCAATCCAGGGTTGCCACGTGAAGTGCCAAAGTCCCTAGCAGCAGCAGCTTCATCAGCAGAAGGAGCATGCACATTTAGCACGAGTGCCCTCCTGCCATGGTGATCGGAGTGGAGAGAAGAGCACAGAGTTCGCAAAAGTGAAGTCGCCTGCTGCAGCCACTGCTTCCTCTCCACCACTTGCTACACTACCGGGAGTTAAGTCAGCCCAACGAACAAGTGAACCCACCTCGGTTCATTGGCATGACGAGCAAACTCATGGGAGCTAGCAAGTCACATGGCCTTCAACCTCAACTGGAGAGAGGCCACGCCACAGGAGGCAGCAGACCTGGCCACAAGTCTTGCATCCGACATGGATGTATGGGCAAGCTCTCTCAAAACCATTGCTACGTGGCACGGACCGACATCACCAGAAGCAACCGACGCAGCAAAAGCAGTCGCAGCATCAGCAGCACGCGAAGCAGCAGCAGTAGTGGCCAGAGCAGAGGCAGGAGAGGCAGCAGCAGCAGCAGAGGCAGGAGAGGCAGCAGTAGCAGCAAAGGCAGCAGCACCAGCAGGAGCAGTAGCAGCCAAGCGAGTAGAGGGACGAACAGAGGGAGTAGCAAAAGGAGCAGCAGCAGCAGCAGCACAGCCAGAACCCCCACACCCCGAACTCAGAGTCGAGATAGGTGTACCGCCCTTCCGAGCACCAAGGGGCTATGACACCTCTCCAAGCAAAGGCACTTGGGGAAGAGGCCCAGAGATAGAAACAGACACTGATTGTGACAACATCTCTCCCCAACAACCTTGGCCTAACGCACCTAACGTTGAAGGACGGGGTTTAGGCCAGAGGTCTCCCTGGGTTTGTAACCCAGCCATTGGGTGCTGGCACGTGAATTATGCCGTCTGGTACGGCGGAGGAGATTACGAGGACGACGAAGGCGAAAGGGGGAGAATCCCACCAAACGCGTATCTTCACCTTGGTCGCCCTCCTCAAGCCCCTGGAACTTGGGCCGAGTACGATGAAATTCCCACTAAGGAAAACCCATTCCTCTGGAGTCTCGACCACCATGAATCTCCACCGCCCGAACCTCATAGTTCTCACCCTTTGACACCGACCCTAGTCAGACCCAATGCTAAAGCTGATGTCCAAGAGACCGGAACCATTGAAGGTCCACCACTGTCTCGCCTCCCTCGCCCGAGAACAGCTCTTGAAAGGCTAGACGAGAGCGCAGCTGGACCAAATGGCTCTCCTCAATACAGAGAGATCGCAGCAGACCTCATAGACCAAGAGTTCCTCGCTCTCGCCATCATAGCCCCTACATTTGCAGACACACCTCCAGCACCTCCTCCTGATGCATCACTTCAGCGCTATCAGCGCACCCGAGGACATCGCATCTCCAGGAAAATCTGGCACCAGCAGCTCGGCCACCCTTCCAGAGTCACCCTCAACAACTCACTCAGCGCCAACGTCTTCGCCCCTGGCGCACTGATTGACTCTGATGGTCGCGAACTCCAAATCAGCCAAGCCCCACACACTTGCATAGTCTGTCTAGAAGCAGCCCTCACACACTGCCCACTTCCAGACCTTCCTTGCTGCCCTAACTGCTACACACTGCTGTACAAAGTCTACAGCGACTACCTAGTCCTCACACAAGAAGGACTCCATGAAGAGCAGTACACTCTGGCCTTCATCGACGCTGCCACGCGCTACATCTTGGCAGTGGGGGAGTACTCAACATCTTCCAACCTTGGCTTGCTCTTGCTGAGCGCCAATCTTGAAAGAAACTGAAGTACTGGCAGACGGATGAAGCTCGTGAGTTCTGGAGTGAGGAGCTACAGACCCACCTCCAAGAACTCGGGATTGAGCACAGGCTCTCCTTTCCCTATGCTCTCCCGTAGCAAGGTGTCCCTGAACGGACCAACCGTACTCTACAGACCAAAGTACGGGCGATTATGCTCCAGTTCAGACTACCCACATAATACTGGCCCCACATAATGCACCACGCAGTCCGACTGCACAACCTACTGTCCACCGCCACCGACGACGGGAATCTCTCTCCCTACATGGCCTAGACAGGAAAGCTAGGTGACACCACGAGCTCCGACAGATCGACGTCAAGAATGCGTTACTATATGAAAAAGTTGACATTCTGATCCTACATCGAGCAACCGCACGCCTACGACGATGGCGACCCATGAGTCTGCCAGCTACAAAAGTTCCTCTACGGGATCAAACAGGCAACCTGTCTTGGGCGATAGCATCTCCAAAAGATTCTGCTGGAGATTGGCTTCCTTCAGCTACCCCATGACCCCGTGATGTACCGTCTCCACTTCCGCATGGACTACATCCTCTTCACGATCTACGTTGACGACCTGCTCTACACTAGCACCAACCCCGACCTGCTCGACCAGTTCGAGTGAAGCCTGGGAGAGCCTGGGAGACCTACATCACCACCTCAACATCTCCTACACACCAGAGGCCATCCTCTATCCGCCTCAAAGTACGTCGAGACACTAGCCAAGAAATTTAACCTAACGCCGGCTCCGTTTTCCACACCCTATAGCATACTCATCACCGGCTACAAGCGCGACACCAAGACGCTCGCACGTGCTGCACATCAGCTCTATCAGCAGCACCTCGGATGTCTGTTGTTTGCCACCATCACGTGTCGGCCCAACCTATCCTACATCGCCAGCCAGCTTGCCCAATACTCTCGGCGACCTGAGGGGGAGAACCTACTATATCTACAGCGAGCGCTTCTCTACTTCATTCAAACTCCTCACATCGGCCTCACCTACTCCACCATCACCACACCCACGTTCCAACTCACTGGCTACATCGACGCAGACCCCACTAACTGCCGCTCGCGCTCAGGGTTCCTCTTCCGACTGGAGCCTACTGGACCTATCTCCTGGAAATCATAGAAGCAGAAGCTGGTTGCTCTCTTCTCGGCTAAAGCAAAGTACATCGCAGCAACCTCCACCATTCGCGAAGGTCTCTACCTCCAAGAACCGTTGCAGGAGGCAAAGCTCAGCACTTTGTCAACATTCAAGTTACACTGCGACAACCGGAGTGGAATCAAGATTGCCAACTAGCCCGGCTTTGTGAATCGCACAAAGCACATCGCTTTGCGATACTTATTTTTCAAGGATGAAATCGACAAAGAAAAAGTGGACCTGACATACTGTCCCACTAGTGACATGGCAGCTGATTTCCTCACCAAGAAGCTGCCATGTCAACAGTACCTGCATTGCGCCGAGCTCTGTGGAATCTCCAAGCACGCTAAGCTCGAATACCTTCAGCAATGGAGGGGAGTGTTACGATAAGGAATTGCTTGCATTCCTAAAAGTGACACTCGAGCTATAAGCCTATAACCCTTGTCGAGTCGAAGCTTATGACGCGAAGCACAAAGTGCAACGGTTATTGACCGTTGATTGACACTTGAACAAACAGAAGTCCAAGGGTCCGTCACGACAGCAAGGACACATAACTGACCCTATAATACAGCGCAGCATTTACCCGAGTCGTGTATTGTTACCCGAGTCGGATCTGGAACCTCAAAGGGAATGTACCCTTTGCATCTTAGTTAGACCCTTCACATTCTTTTGTATCACTACATGAACCATGTATCCCTTTCCTATGATCAACATTGTTAAGTTACATTCACTCTGACAGAGTTCGTCGACCAATCAATTACTTCTGCAAGCGCACTACTGCTAGTCAATCTTGAAGTTCCTACGGACTATATTGGATCGCTTCAGTTGTTAACATCCTGTAAGGAATTTTCCATTCCTTACCGAGCAGCACTGCTATCGCGTACGCTCGAACACACCTGAAGCCTCCGGACTGTTCCAGACCTCCTGACAGAACCACCTCGACTTTTCCAGACCTTCCAGTTCGACCTTCGGGAGTTCTCCAGGCCTCGCTTCGTCACTTCGAGACCCTTCGATCTCCTTCCCGAACCTTACCATCGCATGGTTAGACTAGCTCTGGTGTTCCTATATCTTGGCTTGCCATTCCTTGTATCGTCATTCAGTGAGTGAACAATTTGTTATTCATTTCCGCGCTACTCTGCTTGTTCATTCATAACACTTGGTAATCAGAGCCACTTTCCTCGCTCACCCGTTTTCGAGAGTTGATTTTTTTGGGGGGGGGGGGGGGTAAGTCCCTCACGTAAGCTGCAAAGCGGTTGCTCGCGAATTAGACTGATTAATTCGCCCAACTACGATAGCGTTTGCGCTTACCTGAGTACAGGCACATTACGGATTTCCCCCTGCCCCGGCGGAGCATTCGCCAAATGGACCAAGCTCAGTTCAACGAGCTTCGGGAGCAGTTCAACGCCATGAACACACGCATGGCTACAGTGCTGGAGGACAACGAGCGACTTCGTGCAGAAGTTACTGAGTTACGCCAGGCGCGAGAGGATTCGCGTCAGAAATCTGACGCCCAAGAGGAGGTCGCCAGCACCGGACGTGTCGAAACCGTCTTGGACGAAATCGCACGTGAAGTGTCACAGGAGCGCAAGGACAGTGAGGCCGCCGCAGCAGCTGACGTGGCAGCACGAGCAGCAGCCAAAGCAGCAGCAGCAGCAGCAGCAGCAGCGACAACAGCAGCCGCTCGGTCAGAAGCAGCCGCTACTGTAGCCGCCCCGGCGTTTATGCCGATAGTGACGACAGCGACGATCAAACCAACAATGCCGCCCCCGTTCAACCCCACAGATAAAAATACCACTGTTACGGGCTGGTTATTTTCGGCGGAACTCTATTTCAATGCCGCTGGGATCACGGCTGATGATTTAAAAATTCGGCTGGCTGTATCACTACTGCGGGGACCTGCGCTAGATTGGTGGCAATATACTCTACAGGAGGGGGAGTTTTCGGCAAGCGACACACAGGGGTTTTTCGGAAACTTTGGGTCTGCTGCCCAAGGGTCAACCGCGATTTTTGGATCGACCAAGATTCGCACGTGGAAGGCGTGGGGTACAGCTCTGCGTGAATGGTTCGAGCCAATATCCGCCTCGGACAACGCACGCAAGAAGCTGGACAACTGGTGCCAGTGGAGTTCTGTCCAGGATTACGCGTCGGTTTTCATGGCGTTATGCGATCAAATCACCGACATGCATGACTCCGAGAAGAAAGCTCGATTCATTTCGGGTTTGAAGCAGGACATTAAATGCGAGGTCCGACTGCGAGTGCCGACGACGTTTTACGAAGCAGTCCGGATTGCAGATACTTTCAACGCACATCGGACGTATGCGAGAGCGGGTTCCCGAGAGGGAAATCGTTTTCGTGGCCAGAATCCACGGCCCACGATTCACGGCGTAGTGGCGAAGGAGCACATGGAAGATCTTTGCAAGGGACAATGCTTCAACTGCCACCAGCCGGGTCACCATTCTCACGATTGCCCCCGAAAGAAGCAGATAAAGAAGAACGATGACGGCGGGTCGGGAAACACCAAGCGTCAGTAGTGGTCGAGCCCCCTACTGAACCTGCCTCATCGCCCGAAAAACAGCATCCCCACCGAGTAGTGGTTCTGATACACGCTATCAACCGCTCCTGGCCGAATAAGGGGGATGACCTAGTGGACCACCCTGTACTGGCGGAAGGACGACTTCATGGAAGAAAAATAAAAATATTCATCGACGGAGGTGCGAGTCATAGCCTGATAAATCGCGAGACTGCACGACGACTACACCTGACGCTGGAGAGGTGTCTGCCCGAAATCGACGCACGATTGGTGGACGGCACCCAGTTGGCGATACGCGACAGAGTTCCCGTCGTTCGAATGAAGTGTGGCGAAGATTTTGGTTTCAGCGCGCCGATGCTGGCGACAACGCTCGACGGCTACGACGTGCTATTGGGACGCGATTGGCTGCGACGATTCAACCCGCAGATTGATTGGACGACAGGCGAGTGCACAGTGAAGTGCGACAAAGGCTGGCGAAAATTACCCACGTGGCCGGAAGCAGAGACAACATCGACACGTGTGAATGCAGTGTGCCTCAAGCGAGCGGTCAAGAATGGAGCGGATTTATATGCCGTCCATCTAACCGAATTGACAGAGTAGAACGACGCGACCGACATCAACAAACTCTGTGCTTCGGTCCCGGATGACTTGGCGAAAATCATTCAGGAATATCCCGAAATTTTCCCGGACGATTTGCCAAGTGGCCTGCCACCCGAATGACCTCAGGATCACAAAATCGAGCTGGAGCCCGGTGCACAACTTACGGTACGCACGCAATGGCGCCGGACTCAGCCGGAGCTACAGGAGTTACGAAATCAGCTGGACTACCTAATGGCGAAAGGGTTCACTCGGCCGAGCACGTCACCGTTCGCAGCACCGATCCTGTTCACGCCAAAAAAAGATGGCGGACTTTGCATGTGTACGGACTATCGTGCCCTTAATCGGGTAACGATAAAGTCGCGCTACCCAATACCACGCACGGACGAATTGATCGACAACCTTTGCGGAGCTCGCTATTTTTTTAAGATAGACCTTCGCGGCGGTTACCATCAAATTCGGGTGTTCGATGACGACTGCCACAAGACCGTGTTTCGTACTCGCTACGGGAGTTACGAATACACGGTGATGCCGTTTGGATTAACGAACGCCCCCTCGACGTTTCAACTCACCATGAATGGGGTATTCCGCGATCTACTCGACAAATGTGTGATAATTTACCTGGACGACATCCTGATCTACAGCAAGACCCGCGAGCAACATTTGAAGGACTTGGAAGCGGTTTTTCAGCGGTTGCAGCAGCATCGTCTCATCACCAAGGGCTCCAAGTGCGAGTTTTTAAAACAAGAACTGGAGTTCCTGGGACATGTGATCTCCACGGAGGGGATCCGGATAGACCCGAAAAAAACTCCGGGCTATTCTGGAATGGAAACCCCCGACCAATCTGCAGCAGCTGCAATCCTTTTTGGGTTTCGTGAATTACGTGCGGCGGTTTATACCTAATATGGCGGGGTTAACTGGACCTCTAACCGATCTACTGCATAAGGGAACTTTTTACGAGTGGGGGGAGAAGCAGCAAGCTGCGTTCGAGGCATTAAAAAAACTTTTAATGTCGACACCGGTACTCCGCATCGCTGACCCAGACCGGCCTTTCGAAGTCATCACCGACGCAAGTGACATCGCCATCGGAGCAGTGCTCATGCAGGATTTCGGCAATGGGCTTCAACCAATCACGTACGAGTCTCGGAAAATGCAATCTGCTGAGCGCAACTACCCAGTACACGACAAGGAGATGCTGGCGATCATCCACGCGTTTAAAATCTGGAGGTGCTACCTGACTGGAGCAGACCTGACGGTGCGAACCGACCACAAATCACTACAGTATCTGAGAGCGCATCCGAATCTCAACCCGCGGCAGATACGCCGGCTGGACTACCTGGAATCCAACTTCACGTACAAGATCACGTATAAGAAGGGCGCCAACAATATTGCTGACGCCCTGTCCAGACCATCTGCCCAACTCGCAGCTGTACTAGTCACCCAGAGCAACCCGCTGCTGAGTGGACTATTTACCCACGGGTATTCGACTGACCCCTTCTTCGTAAATGATGGCCATCTCCCAATCACTACACGGAAAGGCGTCTATTACTTACGAAGCGGAACTGATCGAATTTGGGTCCCAAGTTATCGTCTACTTCGCGAATTACTAATTCAAGAAGTCCACGATTCGAATTTATCGGGACATTTCGGGGTTGATAAAACTCTGAAGGCGTTGCAGCGGTTTTATTACTGGCCAGATACGGTGACGGACGTGCAGCGTTACGTGGCCGCGTGTCCGATCTGCCAGCGAATGAAATCATCACACCAGCGACCCACATGACTGTTGCAGCCCCTCGAGCCACCTCAACGCCCATGGCAACACGTAACGATGGATTTCGTTACGGGACTACCGGCCGGACCTAGCGGAAACGACGCGGTTTTGGTTGTCGTCGACCGACTGACGAAGATGGCGCATTTCGCACCATGTCGTACAACCATCACAGCCGAAGAAACAGCACGCCTGTTCATCGCGACCGTTGTTCGTCTACACGGGATACCAGCAGCAATCATTAGCGATCGAGATCCGAAGTTCACGTCAAAATTCTGGCAGGACACGTGGGCTCGGTACGGCACGCGTCTACAATTCTCATCCGCTTATCATCCCCAAACGGACGGCCAGACTGAAAGGACAAATCAAACGATGGAGCAGTTGATTCGGACAAACTGCCCCGACCGGAAAAAATGGGAGGACGTGCTGCCCATGTTGGAATTTTCCTACAACAACGCGCCCTCGGCTACGACTAATCACTCCCCGTTTTATCTCAATTACGAGATGGACCCTACAGTACCCGTCTCCACCAACATTGAGAGTCAAGTACCACGATCGCAACAGTTCGTCGAAGAACTACAGACTGCCCGAGACAAAGCTGTTGAACTTATTCGCAAGGCGAACGCAACTGCCCGACGGTATGCGGATTTACATCGACGGGATATTACCATGGCAGCAGGGCAATTAGTCCTGTTGGACACCAAGAATTTACGACTGTTGACAGCACTGCTATCGCGTACGCTCGAACACACCTGAAGCCTCGGGACTGTTCCAGACCTCCTGACAGAACCGCCTCGACTTTTCCAGACCTTCCAATTCGACCTTCGGGAGTTCTCCAGGCCTCGCTTCGTCACTTTGAGACCCTTCGATCTCCTTCCCGAACTTTACCATCGCATGGTTAGACTAGCTCTGGTGTTCCTATATCTTGGCTTGCCATTCCTTGTACCGTATTCTCCCGGATACAGTACCCGCCGGAATTAAGCTCCCATGGGTGGCTTGAGCGGGTATGGGTGTTTAATTAAACTGGATCTAGTTACCACCCTACTTTTGGGCTTGAAAACAATTGAACACCCCCCGCCACTTAGAATCCTTATTTCGACAGGGAACAACAGAATTTGCCGTGCATAGTTGCGTGCGTAAAAGTGAGGGCGAGTGGGGGAAACGACCTGGTGGTCAACCCGAATGTGTCGAAACGGAAAAAAAAAAAAAAAAAAATGTCGAAACCTCGAAAACCAAATCGTTCATTCTGGACTCTCGCGCTCTCCCGCCAAAACAAACCTCCGCTGCCGCCCACTGATTGGAGGCAGTAAGGACGAGGCCTGCAGCACTCCTTGATTGGCTGATTTGCCAGCCTCGTCCTTGACTTGACAAGTTTAGCTGACGATGTGGCAAGCAGAAGGGCCACACTCTAGGGTACGCGATGAGGACACGAGATGTTGACATGTGACACAAAACAAAGTGGTGTAACATGCACAACTATTTTGGAATTGAAAAACACATATGCACGTTCCATAGAACCATGGTCTTATATTTTTTTTGCCTTTAATTCCACCCACCCCAAAATTTTCATGAATTTTTATTAGCTCCCTAGGGTACTATATCCGGGAGAATACGGTATCGTCATTCAGTGAGTGAACACTTTGTTATTCATTTCCGCGCTACTCTGCTTGTTCATTCATAACACATCGCCTGCTTATGTAACCATGCTTTCTAGAGCCATCGAAGCGCAAAATGGGGAAATCCGTATCGTACGAGAAAATTGTGACAATCCAACCCGTCACCAATCAGAGAGGACCCAAGGATTGCACCCAGACCATTGGAATAGTAGTGTCTGGTTGCACATATGGTTGTGCTGCGTTTCAAATCACAAGTAGCTTAAAAAATAAAGCTTCAGCACGACATCGGATGGGATGGGATGCTCTACCCATGTGGACTTCCCACAAGTTATGTTACACTGGATGCTCAACCTACCGCCCATACATTCGAGGCCCTCTGACTATATTCAGTCCCACTGGATAGGTTATACGGGCAACGCCCCGAGGTACCATTCTCGCTCCGCCTTTACTAAGAACTTTAAACTCAAGTTAAGCAATCAAGATTGCAAAGCATGGCCATTGCTGCAGTTCTCTTTCTGCCACCATGGCTCACCAGTGTCAACAGTCTCTGATCATGACTGCAGTGGCTCCTGCTGCTGCCACTGCTCTCTGTCTTCTAGGGCTGCCATTCCAAAGGCCGTTGGGGAACAGGGCTCGGATGGGCGATGCTGACCGTGCCACGCCTTGATTTGATGGCCTGCCACGCCCCATGGCACTGCCCTTGCTGCTGCCATCCTGGGGACAGTCACCTTTGAAGCCAGCACTACCATTCGTTGCATGCTGGCTGCCCACCTTGCTCTCAACACCGCCACCGCTGCCGCTCCAAGTGGTGCTTCTGCCGCTGCTGCTGCCATTGCCACTCCGGCTGCTGCGGAAACTGGCAGCAGAGATGACAGAACCAGACTGCATGCTGCTGCTGCTGCTGCTGCTTCTGCTGCTGCTGCTCGTTGTTGCAACTCTGGCATTGGTGTTGCTGCTGGTGGCAGCAGCAGGTGTAGGATTGTTACTAACCGGCCACACACGATGCGGAGAAGGGTAGCGAGGGAAGCGGAACGCAGGTAAGGACGACTGAGAAGGCAGCAGTCGCCCACTAGGCAATGGCGATGGTGCATCATCATCCACATCGGTAAACTTGGAGGTCTGAGCCTTTTGCTGGGGAGTGGCGGATTCAACAGCTAGGGTCGTCCCCCTGCCACTATCCCCCGCTCCTCCCCCTCCTCCTCGTCGCTTCCACGGACTCATCACTCCTCGCCACCTTCTCCCCTCAGCCGCCATCATCAAAATGCCTCTTCCCTGCGTCCCGTCCTTCTCCTGATCTGTTGTGCGACGCCTTTGCTGCTGCTGCTGCTGCTCCACCGGGCAGCCCACAAGCGAACTCGGGCTCGTCTCGTTGAACTTGTGCTCAAGAGCTCCTCTATCTTCCTCATCATCCTTTGGCTCCAGCTGAATGTCAGGGATGGCAAAGAGAGGGAACCCGTGCACCCCATGACCACACGATCTCACTGCTCTCGCTTCTGCTGCTGCTGCTGCTGCTGCTGCTGCTGGCACATCACGTGCTGGGCTGGACAGCCCTCTTGCTGCCACACGATCAACAAGGTTGTGGGAGTGAGCTGAGAGCTTGGGAGATGGGGAGGGATGGGAGGAGGAGCAGGTGGAGGAGGAGGGGGGAGGCGAGGATGGGGGTGAAGGAACAGAGATGGCAGAGAGGGAGGGAGCGAGAGGGGCGAGGGAGGAGGCGGAGCCAGAGGAGTCAGCAGAGCACGTGCGGGAGAAGAGGAGGGCGCTAGTGAGTCCACTTCTCGCACCACAATCAACAGCACCACCAGGTGCACAAGAGCCACCGGTAGAGCTGCTGCTGACCAATCTAGTGCTGCCACGCGTAGTGCCAGAGTCCCTAGCAGCAGCAGCTTCAGCAGCAGAAGGAGCATGCACATTCAGCACGAGTGCCTTCCTGCCATGGTGATCGGAATGGAGAGAAGAGCACAGAGTTCTCAAAAGCGAAGACGCCCGCTGCAGCCACTGCTTCCTCTCCACCCCCTTCCCCATCGCCCAACTCCTCTCCTCTCTCTCTTCCACCTCCACAATCCCACTCCCTCCTCTTTCTCTGACTCTCTCCTCATCACGCCCCACTCCTGTCCCACTCTCGCCCTCTGCCAGCCTGCTGCTGGCCTCCTTCAACTCTTGCCCTGCCTCTAACGATGGATGAACGCTTTCCTCCTCAGATGCTGCTACTTCTGTGTGGGCAGCAACAAGGGCGTTCTTTGAATCCTGCTCTGGCTGCTGCGGCAGCTCTGGTTCTCTCCTCCTCTCTCGCCCCTGCTGCTCCTCCTCCCGGAACCCAACTCCCTGACTGCCTTCCTCACCCTCACTGGCCTTCTTTTCCACCTCCCTCCTCTCTCTCCTCCTCTCTATCTTCTCCTCTGTCGCCATGACAGCCACCTCCCTCCCTCCCTGCCTCTCTCGTTCCAGCTCCTGCTCCTTTCGCCTCAGCCTCTCTCGCTCCACTGCCAGTTCCCTCTCTCTCTCCCTCAGCCTCGCCCTCAGCCTCTCAACCTCCTCTGCAATCCGCTGCTGCCTCCATGTCTCCTTCTCTGTGCCCCCTTCCTTCTCACCCTTCGCCACAATCTCTGTCGCAATGCTCCCTTTGTTTCTCATCACCGTTTTTTCCTCCTCTTTATCCTCCTCTTCTTCCTCATCCTCTTCTACGTCCCCCTCCACCTCTTCTTCCTCCTCTTCTTCCTCCACTTCCTCCTCCTTCACCTCTTCTGCCTCCTCGTCCTCTTCCTCCTCCTCTACTTCCTCCCCTTCCTCCTCTTCCTCCTTACCTTCCTCTTCGTCCCTTTCCTCCACTACTTCCTCCTCTTCCTCCTCCTCCTCCTCTTCCTCCTCTTCCTCCTCTTCCTCCTCCTCGTCCTCCTCGTCCTCTTCCTCCTCTACTTCCTCCTCTTCCTCCTCCTCTTCCTCCTCTTCCTCCTCTTCCTCCTCTTCCTCCTTCTCTTCCTCCTCTTCCCTCTCCTCCTCCACCTCCTCCTCTTCTTCCTCTTCCTCCTCTTCCTCCTCTTCCTCCTCTCCCTGCTCTTCCTCCTCTCCCTCCTCTCCCTCCTCTCCCTCCTCTCCCTCCTCTTCCTCCTCTCCCTCCTCTTCCTCCTCTTCCTCCTCTTCAGCCTCATCCTCCTCATAATATTCGTCCTCCTCTTCCTTCTCTTGCCCCTCAGTCTTCTCAAACTCCATCTCTTCCTCTGTTGCCTCCTCTCCATCTTCATCTTCATCTGCCTCATCATGAACCATTCTCCTCTCTCCACCTCTCTCATCACCGTCTCTCACCACCTCCATATCCCCTTCCTCATCTCCTCCTCTGCCGTCCACCTCCTCCTCTATCCTCTCTGTCTCTCGCATCAAACCCGATTCTACCTGCGTCAATTCATCCCCCCTTCCTCCATTCCCCTCTGCAACATCCTCTTGCCAGCCCTCGCTACCCCCCACGGTCAACCACTTACAGCTCTCCGCCTCACCATCCCGCTTCTCCTCCTTTCCCCCATCTCCAAGCATCGTCTTTGATGATGCCCCCACCTGCATGAGGCCCAGCACTGCTTGAATCACCCTCAGAGTGTCAGACCCTGCTGCTGCCTTCCCTTCTTCCTCCTCTCCCCTCCCCACCTCTGAACCCGCCCATCCACCAGCACTTGCAACTCTCTGACCCCTCGCAGTAGTGACAAGTGCACTGCTGCTGCTGCTGCTGTTGAAGGGAACCATATTCATGCAGCCGTGACAACCAGCCACTCCCTCTCCCCTCTCTTTTCCCACTTCCCCTCCATTCTCATCAAATCCAGCATGTGAAACAGAATCTGCAGCCCCTTTCCCTCCCCATGCACCTGAAACCGATCTTCCTTCTGAGTCTGGCGATTTGGCACTAGTCGGATCCCGGAACTCTCCTCCAACTCCCCAAAACTCTCTCGTATCAGGACGACCATGTAACAACCCCCCACCACCTCTCCCTAAACCCCTCAAAACCACCCCTCTTTCCCTTCCAAGTCCCCCTCCCTCCCCTCTCCCTTCTCCTCCCCACTGGCCCCTCTCCTCGCCTCCCCTATCTGCCAAGCGCGGGTTAACAGCAGCCCTCAGCCGCATGACCGCCTGCACCCACTGCTGCCGCTCCTCCATCTCTATCCCTCGCTCGTGCCCCCTCCGCTGCCGCTCCACCCGCACCTGCTGCCGCAGACCCGCGCTCGCATGCTGCCCTGCCAGGGTTGACTCTGAGAGCTGGTGGGGTTGTATGGGACGGCAGCGGAGGGGAATGGGGGAAATAAAGGGGGGGGGGGGGACAGGGCGGTGAATGGGGTGGGGGAGAGTGCACATGGGGGCTTGACATGGAGGAGAAGGGATGGGCCGGAGGGACCATGTGACGTCACTGTGGCCGACGACACCGCAGATACGGGCTTGTATCGGAGCTAGGTAAGGCGGCTGCCACAGAAGCGCCTGCGTGCAGCGGGCTACAAAAGGCTGGTGTTCCCTGCGTCCTAGCGCTTGGCTTATGAGCGCACGGACCTTTAGTGTGGGCGTGAGAGAGAGAAAGGAGAAACCGGAGAGACAGGGGAGGGGAAAGGGAAGGAGGGCGAAGTGGGTATCTTGGTGCCGCTCACCTGTCGCCTGAGGGTGGTCACCTCTCGCTCTGCATGTCTCGCCTTCACCTCCCACGCCTCCTGCTCCATGCTCGCACTCTCAAGAGACTCCGCCAGCTGGCAGCCAGGGGCGGGGGAGTGAAGGTGGGAGTAGAGAGAGGAATGGAGATACGGGAAGAAAGGCGGATAGAGAGAGCGAGAACGAAAGATAGAAGGGAAGGGGTGAGGGGGTTGAGGAGAGCTGTATGCCCAATTCTATTTGAAGGACTTACAAGGGAGAAATAAGGGAACGAATGCAAGCAATGTGTTGATGTTGGGCCATGAGCCACGCTACAACACCTCAAGCCTCAGGCCTCACCTCTGCCATGCACGCTGTGGCATCACTTGAGCTCATGCCTGCTGCTGCCCCTGCTGCTGCTGATGATGGCTTCACTGCTGCAGCTGCTGCTGCCACTGCTTCTTCTGCTGTTGATGCAGCTGCCTCTGCTTCTGCCGCTGCTGCTGCCTCTGTGATTTCTGGTGGTATCGCGGGCTCAACCAGTAGTGATGTAGCCTCTGGTGGTGCAGGTGGAGGCGGCAGCAGCATCAATGGCACTGCCTCTCGTGCCGCTACAGCAACATTCTGAATGTTTCTAACATCACCACCACCACCATCATCATCGGCAGCAGCGGTGAATGCAACTCTGTAGCTACTGTGGTCATTGCAACCTGTATTGTCACTCAGCTCCCCGCCTCTCATTGCATCATGACACTGCGCAGCCATTGTCGTGCTCCAGCTCCTGCCATTCCTAGCATCCACGCCTTTGTAAGCCAAGCACCTGAACGGCCGTCCCTGGCTCACCTCGTCCCCTACTACCTCCCCACCACTCTCCTCCTCCCATTCCGTGGCCCTCCCTCCCTCCTCCTTTCCTCCGTCCTCTGAATTCTCCTCCCTCTCCTCCTCCCCCCGCTCCTCCTCCTCCCATTCCTCCACCTTCCGTCCCTCCTCTTCCCCTTCGTCCTCCCTCTCGTCCTCCTTCCCCCCGACTTCCTCCGCCATCTGCTGCCGTGGAGCCACCTCCCTCACTCCCTCCTCCGCACACTCCTCCCGCCTCCTCTTCCTCCCTCCCGCGCCCTCCCCTTCGCCTCCCACACCCCCGCGCCCTTCATCACGGGTAACACCAGACCGTGCTTCTGACTGCGGGGAAGGCTGCGGAGGAAGGTGCGGGGTAAGCTGTGGGACACTGCTTACCGCAGCGTACTGGTGTTGAGGAGCACATTGCTGCTGAGTGGATTCCCCAAGCTGGGCACCAGCAGGGTTCTCCATAGCAGCAGCAGCAGCAGCGGAGGAGGAGGAGCAGTCGCCTGAGCCGTCTCGACTGCCCCCTATCACACGCACCTCGTCTTGCCCTCCCACAGTAGGCATCGCCGCTGCTGAAACGAGCTCCCCACTGCGTGTGCCGTCATCAGGCCCATGACATCCAGGCCTGTGTCCATGGTGCCATGTTTGAGCATCACCATGGCCCTGACTAGGACCAAGAGCATCAGCGCCACCCTTACCGTGTCTTCCAGGGTCGTCGGCGAGCGCACTGACCTCCACCCTCATGCACATGGGATCCTCTCCCGGGGATAGCATGGCGGGACGCATGTTGCCATCCCTGCCACCTCCCAGCACCTCTCCATGCGCTTCCCTCGGTTCCTCCTCCACCGCGCCCCTTCTTCCCTCCTTCCCGGCTTTCTCTTCCTCTTCTTTCTCCTCCCAATCCCTCTCGCCTCCCTTTCCCTCCTCTCCCTCTCCGCCTTCCCCTCCGGTCCCCTCCCCCTCCCGCCCCATCCCCGCCTCTCGCCTCCCATGCTCCCCTTCCTCTTCATCATACGTCATCCCCCCATCACGGCTATCACCAAACGCCACCCCCACTTCCTCGTCTTCCGCTTCCCCCCCTTCCCCAATCCCTCCTCCATTGACCCCGTAGTCAAACCCACCAGCTCCGCCATACTCCCCTGCTCCCCCCTCACTCCCTTCATCCTCCCACTCCTCCTCTCTAAACCCACATGCCTTTCGAGCGTTCTCTTCTCTTCCAACATGCTTTCCTCCAACTCCCCCCACTTGCGCGATCCCCAGTACATCGCCACTATAAACTCCGGATTTCCCACTACCATCACCGCCATAACACCCACCAGCACCAGCACCAGCACCAGCATCAACATCCTCCTCCTCCTCGTCCTCCACGTCAGCAGCAGACGACGCCACGTCAAGGGGGACCATGTCCAGCCTGGCGAGATCCAGCCCAGGCTCTATCAGCACGTGGGCCGACCCCATCGCATCCTCCTCCTCGTCCGCATTGCTCTGAGAAAACGCATCCTCCCCTGCCTCCCCTAACCCCATACCCATACCCATGCCTGCACCCATTCCTGCAGCACCCATGTGACTAGCTCCAGATCTCTCCCCGTCGTCTCTCCCCCCTCTGCCTGCTCGCATCTTCGCCAGTCTCGTGAGCCCATTCCACCCGCCGAATGCCGCTGCAGCCGTCACCATGCCGACGCCCAGGCCTGACCACTTGTTGCCTGTGCCTCTCTGCCCCTCTGCTTCCCTATCCTCTTCTCCTCCTTCTGCCACCGCCGCTGCTGCCGCTGCTGCTCCTTCTCCTCCCTTTCCCCCTCCTCCCTCTCCACCCTCGGCATTCTGGTCTTGTTCGCTCAATGATCTTGCCTTTAGGGTCTCCTCCCCTCCGCCCTGCGTGCCCTTCCCAACCGCTTCTCTAGTCTCCTCGGCACTACTCTCACGTGCTTGGCTCACTTCCTCGTTCCCCTCCCCGCCTATGCTACCTCCACTGCTCACCCCTGTCTCCCCCACTTGGCAATCTTCGTCCCCCCCTTCCGCCTCTGCTTTTCCCTCTTCCCCACTCCGCCCTCCTCTCTCCCCCTCCCCAGTTTCCCCTCCCTCCCCCTCTCCCCTATCTCCACCGTCATCCAGCCTGATCTCCTGGCACACCCCCCCACCATCCCCCTTCCCCCCATCTTCCCCCTCCCCTCCCCCACCACCATCCCTTGCCTCCTCTGCAATCTCATCGCTCCCCTCTTCCCCGCCGTCCCCCCACGCGCCCCTTGCGCCCTTTGCGCCCCATTCCCCCCATGCCCGGCCGAACAGGCGGGGGGAGGATGAGGGGTCGCGGACCATAGATAGGGGGAAGGCGAACGGGCTCTGGATTGGCGGGAGGGGGGGCGGAGGGGGAAGAAATAGACGGGGGAAAAGGGTGAGAAACGAAGGCATTATTGAATTAGCCCTTACATGAATGTTCGTCGTTTTCCTCACCTCAATTGATGACGTCACACTCGACATCCCGTGGCTCCCAGCTTCCCACTCCTCCGCGGCGCTTCCCCTCACACCCCTCCCGCCATCCGCAGACTCCCGCACGTTCCCCGCTCCCCTGAACCACCCCGCAATCCCCCACTCCGCGCTCGCCCTCAACCCCCTCGCTGGTTCCCCCGCCAGTCCCTCCGCCTTCCCCCCTCCCCCCCCTCCGCCATCCTCTGCGCCGCTTGCGCCATCTCTTGCGGCGCTTGTTGCGCCTCCGTTTGGCAATCGAAGGCCCCCCGCAAGCAACTCTCGCTCCGCATTAGCAGCAGCACCACTACGAGCATCATCTGCAGTGGCGGTAAAGTCGCTCAAGCGTTCCCCGTCGACATCGCGGCCGCGCGCGTCGGCGGAAAGTAGGCGCGGAGGCGGGGGGGAGGCGCGGGAAGCGAAAGCCGCGGACAGGGCGGAGAGGGAGTCTACAGGGGAGGCGGAAGGGAAGGGGGGGGCGTCTTCGGGGAGCCGCATGGGGGTCGCGGGGAAGCACGGGAAGGTGAAAGGCGTGGTAGTCGTAGTGTTGGTACTGGATGCTACTTCTACTGGTAGAGTGTCTTGAGCAGCATGATCTGCATCGTCCGAGCGCCCCAACAGATCGAGACGGTCTCCTTCCTCTCCCCCGCCTTGCCTCTCCCACTTTCCCTCCTTGACTTCCACGACTTCCACGACCTCCCCGTCTCCTTTCCCCATGCCGTCCCGTCCACTCCGGAGCTCTAGTGTCGGGCTAACACCACCAACGCTGCTGGCGCTTATAGCAACGTTTGACCTCACCGCCCTCTCGCCTCCCGCGTATTCGTTCCCTCCACGCCCCTTCCCAGGCTCTAGCCCACTATCAGTTGCTACTACTACCACCACTTCCTTCCGTGCTGCCCCGTCCTGCCCACCTCCTGGTTCAGGCAGACGCGACAGCTGGGGCTCTTGTACTACCAGTAGTACTAGCTCACCCACGCTGCTGTCGCTCTGCTGCCCCTCACGCACGTGATCAGTCGCACCGTGATCCTCCGCCTTGCATCCCCCGTGCCGGCCCGCTCTCTCCGCCGCCTCCTCGCCGATCGCTCCACCCTCTCCTCTCTCCGAGGCTTCACCCACGCTTACCTCCCCGACAACCCGGTCTCCAGAAGCCGCTTGCGCATCTGCCGCCGCCTTTGGCGAGTCTACCGCCTCTTGCGCATGGTCCGCTTCGTGCGCGTCGTCTACCCCCTGTGCGCCCACCAGCCCTTTCCTCGCGTCACACCTCTCCACCAGCCACGACCCCCTCTCCTCCTCCTCCTCTTCCTCCTCCTCCTCCTCCTCCTCCTCCTCCTCCTCCTCCTGCTTCCACGCTTCAGCCTCCTCCGTCTCGTTCTCCACCTCTTCCTCGCCTTCGTCCGCCTTCCGTGTTGCAGGCCTTGCAATCCCCGCACCCTTCCCCCAATTCTCCCCTCCATCCTCCTTCCCATCCTGCTCCACTGCCTGCCTCCCATCCTCTCCTCTTCTCCCCCTGTCCGCGATCGCCTCATCTATGATGCCTGCCGCCTCTATCCCCCGCTCCTCAGGAGAATCCTCAGGAAGCGGATGTTTCGCGCTCTCCGCCATCCCCTCCTCCGCTGGCGATCCGAACATTGGGTTCACCCAGCTCACCGTGCTACCCGCCGCGCGTAGTACCGTCACTCTAGTAGCGGTGCTGTCACCCTGAACGTCCCGCTTTAAGGCCGGCTGTATTGCGAGGTGACGCGAATGAGCGTGCTTAGCGGTGGCAGGGAGACTGTCTGGTGACTTGAGGCAGCTTCCCGGTGCGAACGGAAAGGAGGAGAAGGTGGAAGGAGCTGTCACTACCAGCAGCGGCGGTGGCGACTGCTGGTGCGGTGGAAGAGCACTCGGAGTGCCACTACAAGTGGGCAGTGATGGGGCTGGATCACGAAGATGGCGTACTGCTAGAGAAGGGGGACATGCGGGGGTGGAGGAAGCTGAATTGCCGGCGGGGGCCGATGGAAGGAGAGTTATCGGAGCAGCGACATAGGAGGTGGAAGCTGTGGCAGTGGGAGACTCGGACGCCGCCGCCGGGGGATGTTCACGCGGAGAAGTGCTTTTGCCGAGCTCATCACGGCGACAATCCGCCAGCAAAATACCGAGGCCTACACTCTTACGACTCCATCCATCGCGGCTACTACTAGAATCGTTCCTGTCGCAACCGATGCCTCTGTATCCACCGCCGCTGCTCGCGCTGGCTTCGGCCGGCGCAACACGGGGGGCGCCAGCACCAGAACCGGCGACATCTCCGCTTCTCGCCTGCCCCGAACCTGCTGCCGCTGCGACAGTCGCCGACGCTGACGACACTGCGACAACCGCCGACGCTGTCGACGTTGTCGACGCTGACGAAGTTGCGCCTCCTCTCAGAACCGCAGCGACAGGAGAAGTCGCAGTGGCGTGTTCCCCCCCGTCGCCCAGCAGAGCAACAGTAGGTGGTCTGCTTGCGCCTGGAGCACCGCTGGCAGAAGTTACCGAAGCGGAAGCTAATTGGGTCGTTGACGACACTGTCGCTGGCGCAGGCGGCACCGCCGCAGTCGCAGTAACAGCCGCAGTCGCAGCCGCCAGTGGCGCGGCGGCGGAGGCGGCAGCGGCAGCGGCGGCGACGACCTGGACCTTCACCTTGAGCTCCCGCAGGCGCGCCAGGCGAGAGCTGAAGGACGGCCGCTGTGGCGGGTGCAGCGTGGACGCGTCCAGGGCCATGGCTAGCGGCGGTGCCCCGCCGGCACCGCGTGCCCCAGTGGGAGAGCCGGTCGTGCCCTCGCTAGTGTGTCATGCGCCTCGCAGGGTCCGCGCTCTATTGTCCTGCGCCGCGAACCAGGTTGACGGTAAGGTGGTTTATCTGACCCCCCTCCTCTATTCTTCTATACCACCCCCTTCAATATTCGCCTGACTGGTCGAAAGAGCGCCACTAGTGCCGTACGAACCGCAAAGCATGAACAGACGGATGGAGACGGCATGCATGGAGAATCTGGATGAAAGAGGTAGCAGCCAGCCGTCAGGAATAAGCCTGAAAAAGTGCAGTCAGAGTCAGAGCGACAATTAGGCCGCTCTTTTCGTTTACTAACCTTCGACTATGTCGCGGGTCTAAGACTACCCGTCCTACGGTACCAGCAACAGATAGTCACAGCGTGTGGAGACGTGTGTTTGAAAAAGGGTACGGGCGAAGGCGGAATGGAAGTGTTCGGACTGTTGATTGGGAGGGGCTGAATTGGGCTAGGCTCTTTCCTTTGACCTGATTTTGGTGCTTGCTCGGCTGGGTTCTGCGGGTCAGGTGGGTTGGTGGGGCTTCAATTTCTCACATGGACCTTATGCTGTGTGGGGTCCAATGTCGAGCAAAGTGCGCTCCGTGACGCGACTTCTCGCGTCGCGAGGGCATGAACTGCACCCACGCGATGCACGCCTCCTCGCTGGTAGCTGTTGGGGAGAGGAGTTCTCGAGCCGCGTTTAGAGGATCTATTTTCTGGTAGTAGTAGAAACTCCCACCAGTTTGGCTCGTCTGAGGATCTGTGCGAGACTCCAGCGTTTTTTCTGCGCAATTTGAAGTTCCCACCGGGATTGGACTTCTTTCTCCGGAGATGGACTCGAGGTCATCAAGTGAGAACAAGAGCTCGAACCCTGCATGAGACAACGGGCAATCACAAGCCCTGATTTTGGCGGCCAGCTGAATCATTAATCGACATATGCTGTAGAGCGAACTATGTGACAAGTGTACTTGAAATCTCAAAAATATAATCGTATGCAATATACGTTACATGCCATTGGAATTTTTTTCATTTTTTGGGTTGCGGAGCAACTTATTACGATCGATTTTGCCGAATTTCATTTTTTCACTCAAAATTTTGGAAGGAAAACCTTTGAACAATAAAATATGACCTAGATATTTTTTTCCTATTACTATAACAAGATGCCAGAGGTGTTTATCATATGATTGTAATTATATGCATATCTTTTGGAATAATATTTGCATTATATTTGGCTGATTTTTTGTGTACTTGAAATTTTGGCAGGTCTCTGATTTGATTGCATCATATCGTTGTGTACGGATCAGGGCCTATTTTATCAGAGTAATTTACTCTGTTTCTCTGAAAATCAGAGTCGTTTTTGAAAACTACTCTAGGTGCCCTGAGGAAGAAAATTGAGGTTTTATTTTACTCTGATTATATCAGAGTAACCATTTGTACCCCTCTGAGGGTTAGTGTATAGGGGGTATACCTGTAGATTTCCCCTGTACCCTGTACCTGGCCTTGCCCCAATATCCTGCAATACGCGTCATTTTACGCGTACCGCCAGGCAGTGGCACGTCATATGCTGCCATCCTTGCCACTGCTGGCAGCATCCTTCGCGCTGATTAGTCACGACTGCAGCATCACTGCAAGGCTGGCAGCAGTTCCCTCACCACCGCACGCCGACCTTAGCCACATCCATGCATGCACGACCGACCTCACTCCCTCACCCACTCCGAGGCGCCCCACAATTCACTCACCCCCAAGAAAAGCAGATGAAACCCTCGTCTTGTTCAACCTTCCCTTCCTCCCCTTCACCAAATCTATCTCTCACACCGTACTAGCAGAAGAAAACCTCTGCTTACATTCGCCGTCGCTGCCGCCCGTCGTCACTCGTGCCACTGGCGTCATGGCTGGCACGAGTGAGCCCGACGATGGCGGTGGCGACGAGTCTGTCCTTCTACGAACTCCTAGATCGCTCCCTCTTAGCAGGCTCGACTTTCTCCGTCGAGTTGCTACCGCTCCAGTTGAGCCACAGCTACCGCTCCAATGGAGCTGTCAACTGGGATTGCAGAAAACGAGCAAACAGACCGGAAAGACGTTTGTAGCATGCACAATTTTCGCCCCCACTTCCATTGCCATCTCGTTCCCATTCCTTCTTTCCCGCCAGTGAAACTTCTCCTTTACGTTAGCTCTTCCCCCTTCTTCCCCTAACTGGTTTGCACTCCTGTCACATATCTCTCTCCCATATCCCTCTCCCTCCCTCCATCTCTCATTTCTGTTTCTCCTCTTGCAGCCATCTACCAGCTCACCAGTGGTATCCCCAAGGGCACCATCGCCCACCGTATTGTGGCAGTGCTGCACACGCTGTATAGCATCTTTGTGTGCAGCTACATGGCCAGCGCCTTTTGTGTAAGTCTGCATATTCTGCTATATACCCACTGGCGCTCAAACAAACCACCTTGCTGCAGTGATGGTCAATGTTACCTATGCCTCGTGCTGCCTGCTGATTTCTGCTCACTGCCTCTTTTTCATGTGGGTGTGCTTGCTGTGGCTGTATATGTGCAGGTCATGACACTATCAGGCGCATACTCGGCCTACAGTGGCATGTACTACACCGGAACAATCATCCCCATCTTTCTCGTCGCTTTGTCAATGGTGTACAAGCCCCGTCGCCCAAAGCGTGTCAAGACAGAGTAGCATATGAGTAGGTAGCTTGACATGGTAGACGCATCTTTAGACAAGTTGGAAGCGCCCGACACGGTAGAATGTATGTGTATTTGAAATGAAACGTACGTCGATCTGATCGGACCAACCACAAAATCCCCTCAATCAACCTTTGTCGGAGTGCACAACAGCAGCACAGAGTTGTGGAAATTTCCCTTCTGCACTACCAGTGTAAAATTTTCAAAATGGAAAAAAACCCTGGCAAATCAGAGAAACTGTGAGGATGCACTCTGATTTTCAGAGTAATGCGAAATGTCACTCCCCAATATCAGAGTAGTAAAAATCCAAAAGTAGGCCCTGGTACGGATCCAATCGAGTCCTGCAAGAAAATTCATGTCATAATTGATGACATGAATAAAAAGGCAAGTGTGATGATAATATGTGATAGTGAAAAACTCAAACTCTAGGCTACCACTTCCCCAGCGCTACCATGGGGGGGAAGACAGCAAGCTCAGTGTCTGAATGATTAACTGTGACATGGAGCAACGCAATCTGTAAGGTCCAAAAAAAGAACCAAACCTATCAAATCCAGTTCAAGAGACAGAAACTCAAGGAGCTCGCCTGTGAACCTTTTGTGATTTGATAAGCATGCTTTTTTTTTTTTAAGAAACAGACGTACATTGCTAATGGAATGAATTGTGGATCGAGAATGAGAGCAAACAAGAGCAGCAAGACGCATCGAACCAAACACAAGACGCCAGCAAATATAAGAATACAAAGCTGAAAATGAGATAATGGAACAACCCCACGAATTACAGCTAAACGCCATACGGAGCTCATAAACTCGTTTACAAGAAAACCTGCACAAAATTAAAGTGGATGAAGGTGGATAGTGGATAGTATATTAGGCATTGCGCATGGAAAGAAGTGAATAACAATCAGCTAGGGCGAGAATGAATGAGCATATGAAGTGAACACAAAATGTGATTGTGAAAGGAAAGAGACGTCGAGAGAGGTAAAGAGAGAAGTTGGAAGCGAGGTAGAGAGAGAGGGAGAGAGAGAGTGAGAGTGAGAGGAGAGAGAGAGAGAGAGAGAGAGAGAAGAGAGAGAGAGAGAGAGAGAGAGAGAGAGAGAAAGAGAAAGGGGGGAGGGGGGCAGAGAGAGTGAGCGGGACATTGCAAGAGAGAGAGAGAGAGAGAGAGAGAGAGAGAGAGAGAGAGAGAGAGAGAGAGAGAGAGAGAGAGACAGAGAGAGAGAGAGAGAGAGAGAGAGAGGTAAAGGACGAGAGGGAGAGAGGTAGAGAGAAAGGGGTAAAGAGAGAGAGAGAGAGGGCGAGAAAGGAAAAGAGAGAGATATTGAAAAAAACACGCGGAATCGAAGGAAAAGAGTACAAGATTATGATAAAAACAGAAAACGAGCAGAAAACGGAACGAGACAGAGATTGAATGGAACACGTAAGCGAGATAGGAAATGAACTGATAAATGGCACAAGGATTGAATGGAACGTACAAGGGAAAAAAACGAAGAACTGAAAAGTAAGGAGGTGACGAGGATGGAAGAGAGAGAGAGAGAGAGAGAGAGAGAGAGAGAGAGAGAGAGAGAGAGAGAGAGAGAGAGAGAGAGAGAGAGAGAGAGAGAGAGAGAGAGAGAGAGAGAGAGAGAGAAAGAGATAGATAGAGAGAGAGAGAGAGAGAGAGAGAGAGAGAGAGAGAGAGAGAGAGAGAGAGAGAGAGAGAGAGAGAGAGAGAGAGAGAAGGGGAGAGAGAGATGATAGGAGAGGCTATGGGGGGAAGAAAAAGGGCTCGTGCTTACCGCGTTTCCAAGATGCGAATTTAGGATGAAAATAGGGGAAAAATGTAAGAGCTCGATGAAAAGGAAGGGGAAGGAATCGAGCAGAGAAGAGGAAAAACGGGTGAGAGGAGGGGTTAGAATGAGTATCGTGCATCTATTCTGAAATCGACCACTGACATTTCCATAGCTAGAGAAATCTATCGCGCATTAGGAGAAATCAATCGTGAAGTTGGGAGAAAACTATCATGCACTAGCTGTTGGAAGAAAGTCGAGTCTGAGATTAGGATAGAGAGGAAGAGCAGAGAAGGTGCTCGAAGAGTACGGCTGAAATAGCTGCTCTCTGAACCCTCAAGCGGACCAGCTGCGTTGGAGCCACGTTTTTGCAGCTCTGAAGAAACGTTTTTTTCTTTCCGGTCAGAAATTGCCCCGTGAAACAATAATGGGTGTAATGATGTTTTTTAACGGCAATTACTGGTAGTGTAACTTCAGAATGCGAGTATGTAACGCGTAATGCATCCAATGGTGAGCTCGGGGGTTTTGCCAGTGCTTGACGAAAACAAAAATCAGTATCCTGTGGCGAGTGTGGCTAGGCGGGTGTCATTGCCACGCTAGATTTCACTTCCATCTGGCAGTTGCGCGTGACGAGCCTCGCCACTGGGGAAATAAAACAAAAATTGCCAGGTGGCCAGATTCGTTCGCCACAAGTCGTCTACAGTGGGAACAGCCACCACATAATCAAACAGAATCACAACAAATCCCAGCGTCAGGGCATTTGACGGAAAGGCGAAAAATAAAAATCCAAACGCGCAAAAAACAGAGGATACATTACTAAAATTTGGCTACAGTGGAACAATAAGGAACCAAACGTTTCAGAATTTTGTACACCTGTTCTCCTATTTAGTCCTACGGTTTTTGCACGCGGCTTGAGCCTGTAAGCAGGAAATTGTGAAACACGGGCAAACGGGACTTTGAAGGGGAAATCCCACAGTAAGCAATGACACTTGGTTACAATATCTCGCTCATGCACTAGAATGGTTGCCTGCGCGACGTTCCAGCTCTGAAACTCGCAATTGTCGAAATACAACTTGGGAGTTCGTGTTAAAATTATATAAGTCATAATTTAATATAGGCTTGGTAGGTTGTTACTGAACCTTTCTGTAGAGGGTACAATCCCCTCCTTGTACTGCTCTCTCTTCCTAATCCCAACTCTTCTTTCTCGTCAACTTCTCTCCCCCGCTCCTAGATCTACTTTCCTCACGCCATTCCATGGCGTCCTTCCTTGCTTCCTAGCTAAGCTAGGTTCCTAAGTTTAGTTAGTGTCCTAAGCTTCTTTGATATGGTATCAGAGCAGGAGGTCCTCCCTGCTGGACCGCCTCCTCACGCTTCCGCCGCGTACTCCTCGCCCTCCTTCGCTCGCGCGGCCATGGCGGCCGCGTTTTGCTGCAGTGGCGGCGTCGCGATGCCGCTGGCCGCGTCATGCCGCGGCCGACTCGACGCGCTGCCGTGGAGTCGGGCCGTCGTTCTGCCGACGCGACGTCGACGACGTCCCGCTGCGGCATCGACGCCGCGCTGTGACGGCGTCGTAAGGCTGCCGTGGCGGCGTCGTCGGGCGACAGCAGATCGTGCAACGTCAGTGGCGCCGCCGGACCTGCCACCCGCTCTGCAGCCACCGGCATGATTTTGGACTACGCCCCGCCCCTGTCCCTTCCCCCCCCTCCTTCCCCTGCATCCCCCCCTTTTTTGCTGCAGCCGACGACTGCCTCATGAGGGCCCTCCCCACCGCCGAGGAGACTGGACATGCCGCCGAGAGGGCGGGGGCCGCTGCACCGGCCTCTGACGTTCAAGCCGCCGCCGCCGCCGCTGTTGCCGCGGGCCTGGTGCCACCGCACGCCGCAGCCGCCGCCGCTGTCGTCACTGTCGCCGCTGCCGCCATTGCCATCTCACGGGCCGTGGGAGCTGCCCTCTTCCGGGGTCGTTGCGGCTCCTGCTGGGAATGGGGTGCTGGGCTAGGGGTGTGGGTGTGGGTGTGGGTGTGGGTGTGGGTGTGGGTGTGGGTGTGTGCGTGGGCTTGACACTACCAAGCCTAGGGGGTGTGTTAAAATTATATAAGTCATAATTTAATATAGGCTTGGTAGGTTGTTACTGAACCTTTCTATAGATGGTACAATCCCCTCCTTGTACTGCTCTCGCTTCCTTATCCCAACTCTTCTTTCTCGTCAACTTCTCTCCCCCGCTCCTAGATCTACTTTCCTCACGCCATTCCATGGCGTCCTTCCTTGCTTCCTAGCTAAGCTAGGTTCCTAAGTTTAGTTAGTGTCCTAAGCTTCTTTGATAGTTCGTTATCATTCAAACTGCAACCAATCAGGTTCAGTGTCAACGCGAGTCATGCTGAGAACCTGATAGGTGAGATTGCAATTTGGACTGTTCAGGATGGGACCATAGAGGGGAAAAGTATCAAAATTTAGAATTGAATGATTGTAATGTGAGAGTACACACAAATATATCTAAGTTTTGTATCCTCTAAGAGGTGACTCTATACAGTCTATACAAACATGACAAATACACATGTTTGACACACCCCCTAGACTGCATAGGGGAATACCCTAAACAAGCAGCTCAGGGCGGCACTACTAGTCCAACCTCTGAGGCAAGGGTCTGAGCGACCGGTCAGAAGGAGTACAGACAAGGCAAGCACAAGAGCAGGGCGGCACTACTAGTCCAGCCACTGGGAGAGGACACAAGTCCAGTCTGAGTATACATATAAAGGACAGTACAAAGTCAAGGTCCTAGCAAGTGAGAGGCTACAGGAACTAGACCAAGCTGTACACAGTGCCGCTGATGATCTTTAGGCGCAAGCGCCTTCGTAAAGACATCAGCCGTGTTGGCACCTGAGGCCAAGTGTACTACGCGAGCCTGACGTCGCTGCTGTAGCTCACGCAGGAGGAAGTACCGCAGCTGAATGTGCTTCGCTCTGCCTCGAGTCGAGGCTCCTGACACAGGAGGATCATGGCCCTGTTGTCAGCGAACAGGACCGGGGCAGAGCTAGGCCGCTCACCTAAGTCAGTGAGCAAGAAGGTCAGCCAGCGGAGCTCCTGTGCCGCCATGGCACCGACGTAGATCTCAACCTCACAGCTGGACTGTGCAACAGACGAGGAGCGAGTAGCTCTCCACGAGACGGCACCTGAGCCAAGGCTGAAGCAGTAGCCCTGGGTAGACCGGAGTGTCTCAGCGTCGTCTGCCCACGAAGCGTCTGTGTGCCCAGTAAGGACCGCTGGCCTGCGTCCTCCTAGCACTAACCCCATGCCCGATGTACTAGCAAGATAACGCAGAACCCTCTTAGCGGCAGACCAGTGCTGCGGTCGGTGTCTGCCTGTGGCCACAAAGCGAGCCAGGATGCTGAGAGGGTATGCGAGATCTGGGCGAGTGCAAGTCATCAGGTACATGAGGCAACCCACCAGCTCTGCGTAGGGGCCGCTGGGCTCTACCAACTCCTCAGGCACTGGAGCGGAGAGCCTGTGGTCTACAGGCAGAGGGGTGGGCTGTGCAGAGGAGAACTGAAGGCTGAACCTCTGAAGGACCTGGCGCACCAAGTGTGACTGAGTCAGGGTGATGGTGCGCGCAGCTCTGTCCCTGGAGATCTGCAAGCCAAGGTAACGGCGCAGTTCTCCAAGGTCAGTGCAGGTGTGTCTCTTCAGCAGCTCTGCCTTCACGGAGGCCAGCGCGTCCCTGTCTGCTGTGGCAAAGACCAGGTCGTCGACGTAAACGAAGATGTAGAACGGAGTCTGGCCAGCACGAACGAAGAGTGAAGGGTCTGCAGAAGACGGAAAGAACTGCAGGTCAGCAAGCGTAGTACGCAGAGTGTCGTGCCACTCACGGGGAGCCTGGCGCAGGCCGTAGACGGGGCGCCGCAGGAGCCACTGGGTCCCAGGAGGGAAGGGGGGTGACGTGGGAGACACCAGAGGGGGCGGGACGGGGGAGGAGGAGGAGGAGGGGCAGGGACTACCGGGGAAGGGGTGACCAGGAACAGGGGGGGGTAACCGGGGACCTCGGTGGGGGAAGCGGCGGTAGTAGGAGACGGACTCGTCAAAGGTGACGTCACGAGAGTGAAAGAAGCGGTGAGACGGCGGGTGGTAAAAGTGCCAGTCGGACGCGTCAAGGGGAAAACCGAGGAAGACGCAGGGAAGGGTGCGGGCAGTGAGCTTGTCCGTGCCGGAGGCACGGACGTGAGCAAGGCAGCCCCAGACGTGGGAACGCAGACGCGTCACCAGGAGACCCAGTCCAAAGACGGGTCGGCGAAACCTGCGGCTGCTGAGGGTGCGGCCACAGGTTAAGCTGGTGAGAAGCGTAGCGCACAGCGAACGGCCACAGAAAATGGGGTGCACCGACATGGACCATGGAGGTGCGAGCGACCTCCATGACCAAACCGATGCGTCGCTCAGCGACCCCATTCTGCTGTGGGGAGTCCGGGTAGGGTGAACGTCTGGGTGATGCCCTCCGCACGACAAAAGCGACCAAGGACACCTGAGGCAAACTCGCCACCACGGTCTGAGTGAAGACGCAAGACAGGGAGACCGCGGTGGACACGCGCAGAGACAAGCCAGGGGATGAGGGCGCCAGGCACGTCGGCCTTGCGCTCCAGGGGAAAGACTGTGGTGTAACGAGTGAAGTCGTCGACAAGCACAAGGAAATAGCGCTCGCGACGCGGCCCAGGGACGGGGGCGGGGCCCCAGACGTCCAGGTGCAGGGTCTGCAGCGGCGCGGCGGTAGGGGGGAACGAGGAGGAGTGAGGGGCACGGCGAAGCCGACCCTCGACACAAGGCGTGCAAGGTGGAGCTGGGGAGGAGGGAAACGCGGGGAGTGAACCTGGGAGACCAAGGACAAGACCGTGCTGGGACATGTGACGCAGACGCGGGAGCGCAGGGTGACCTAGGCGGTGGTGCCACAGGAGGGTCGGGTGAGTGAGGGAGCGACAGGAGCAGGCAGCAGCAACCTGGGTAGACACAGCCACCTGAGGGGCGC